TCAACTTAGTAATGGTTATAATCCATTTTTTTTTATAAAATTATTAAAATTGCCACATACTTGTATTCATGTCGCGCCAAGTAGCGCACATATTTTTCTGGCGGCTCATCAGAATCCGAGTCCTGTACGCTCACCGAACGCACTGTCGTATGCGACACCTGTGTCGCTGGCATTGTGAACTCAACAAAAGCGTAGGGTGCCAATTCGCTTGGTATTTGGTCGTAGGAGGTGAGTGCCATGCGACAAACCAATTGATGTGTAGTATAAGCGCCTACGATTGAAAAAACAGATTGAAATATCAATGCGTCTAATGTGGGAAGCCCCCATTCAATTCTTTGCCCGTTGTTACATACCTTGTCCTTCTTTTGGCAAACGTGGGCACCGCCAAACAATTGCGCGGTGATGATGTTCATATTTCGCCTGGCCAGAGGTGACCTCTATGAGTGATTCCTGCAGCGTATCGACTGCGCCCAATATGCGCTCGATGCCTTTTATCTTGCCAGTACGTCTGTGAGCCGATTTAACTGAGCCATATCTGTGGGATAGTGGAAAGTATGTGGTTCATAATTTATTTATGTGGCAAACGTATTCGCTTCTCACCTAAAGTGCTTCTCTACGCGAAACAGGTAAATCCAGCATTCCGGTATTGGAAAACGCACTGACACATCTTCGCATGGTATTTGGCCCAATTTGCGCGATGTAAAGCCTGGCACAAGTATATCGGCACGCAACTCTACCTTATTGCCGGTTACACACCAAGTGGCTTTGAGCTGTAATGGAAGTTCGCGATTTTTGGGTGGACGCACGCGGAAACGTAATAATTCTATATAATTTGCATCCGGTGGCTGGAACCTATTCGGGAAGCAAATGTTACAATTAACTGCGCGCTACGGAATCCGAAAAACAAAACTCACTTAATTGTACGCGTCCTCTCATATTCGTCCTGATTAACCACGCTATGAAACTCTACAGCTTCTAGGCGAATCCACTCCTCAGTGGCTACTGGTATGATGTCGTGCCGGCCTACCACTTCTTTACCCTGGCGCCACATATCATTCACTCCCAACTCAATTGAGGGCATGCCTGGAATTTCAAAATTTCGCTTTAGCTTAAAGCGCAATCAAACTTCACCGCTTTATGCAGTTACCTGTGAGAAAAGCTAGGAAGAATAAACGCACGCGCGCTATCTGTTTCAAAATCTTGCCCTCGAAGTCCTGCTCTACAACGATTTCATCGACCGCCGTCACTTGTACCTCCTCCATCTTGTAGACGAGCGCACGTTCACGCAACGCTGGCAGTCGGAAAAGTGCCTCTTCGATGCAGATCGAAAACTGTTTCATATCTTCGTAGTTCATCGAGCCAATCTTAAATAGTTGTGACGATTGTGGCGCATGTTCAACAGGTAATCCCAACTTTTTCAAATCACTTCCAAACTCCTTCACACCCTCGTAGTCACCCGCAATGGCGTATTGTGCAAATTTAGTCAATTTATTGGTAATGCGTTCTGCCTTGGTCACTTGTCCAGGTCGCACACCCGGGCGTTCTTTATAGAATATGTACTGCAGTTTCACGGTGAAAATTTTTCCAAACTGATCGTACTGCTGTGCGCCGATCTCTGACACAGAGTATGACGGCTGAAGTGGCAATTCTTGGAATGGTTGCTTGTCTGTTGCCTGATTGAGCAACTGTACGACGGGCACATCGTTCTGCACTACCAAACGTACAAAGATTTTCTTCCAGAACCGTTGACCGGTTATCTTCTTCTTGTTCGGTTGTCGTAGCTGCATTTCCCAGCCGGGTCCAACATAGTTTAATCGTGGAAAGTCTTCCAGTGGCTGGGAGACATCTTCATCGAACAGCGGTGTTTGTGGTGTGTCCTGGGAGTCTGTGCGTTTGACTTTGTTTTCACCCGTTTGAGCTGGTGCCGGGAAACCTGTGTCTTCGAAGGGGTTGACAGCTGGCGACGTATCGCTTGACAGCTGACCGCTGGTAGCGCGCGCTGGGGGGTGGTGGTGGTGCCAGTTGCGGTGCAATGGCGTGTGTGGTATCACCTTTCGGGCGGATGACAACATTGAACTCCTTGTCCACCGACTCAACAGAATCAGCGCGAATGGGCGCTTTCATTGCATAGAAGTCATCATCCTCATTGTCGAAAGCATCTGATGCGCCGAAAGCGTTGTTGGTTGTTGCAGGCGAACCAAATGCGCTGTCACCCCAAGCTGAAAATTTATATTTATTATTTTCTAATTGTACCCACAAAAATAGCTCGCTAAATCTTACCATCTCCACCGGACGGTGTCACAGCGCCAGAGCCGCCAAAACCATCAAGTATACTAATGTTATCCTTTTTAACGGAATCAAACTTGGCCGAGAAAGCGTCAAACTCATCCGGTTCGATGGCGAAGATATTATTAGCTGTGTATGGTGGTGCGGTGACTGTTACTGGCTCTGGTTCCGGATCCGGATCTGCCGCAAATATATTCACTGGCACAGCCGAAGTTGTGATTGAATCCGTCGCCGTGGTAAAAATATTTGTCACCACTGCAGCGTCCATATCGTCCATGGCAAATATATTTGTCACCACAGAGGGTGGTGGGTACGTTTCTTCTTCCTCATCAGGACTTGCGAAAGGATTTGCAGAAGCTGCACCACTTGCAACTGCACTGGCAGATGCAAAGTCTAAACCTGTATCCATTTGCTCAAACTCACTAATCTGTTGTTCGGTAGTTGCTTCCGCCGATGACTCGGGCACAGCTTGAGTGGTTGCTGCAGATTCCGTAGGGGGACTATGATCGGAATCGACCGATGTGTTTGCTGCCGGTTCGGCAGTCGCAAGTGTTGCGTCCTTTTCTTCTTTCTCTTCCTCTTCGCCTTCGGGGCTTGGCTCAGTTTCAATGACCACTGGTGGTATTGGGTTTACGGGCTCTGGTTCATCTTCATCGTCTGATCGGGGAAGATCTTCGACGGTAGTTATTTCAATGTCAGGAGTTGGGGCACGTGGCTTAGTTTCGTCGACAACCAGTTCTTTCCTCTCCATACTATTTATCATCGATATGTTAAGATCTGCTGCTTGTGGTTGTGATGTAATATCATGTGTGCTGTCATCGGGACGTGTTAGCATCGAGGTGAAAATAGGATCTTCTCCTGATTTGTTTTCATCTTCTTCTTTTTCTTCCGGTGTTTCCGCTGTATGATCGAGTACGAGATCATCGCTTAAGAGATCAGGTTTCGTCATTGGTTGTGCTGGTTTCTCAAACAGGCTTAAAATGTCTTCTTTTGTCTTTGGTGGTGGCGGTTTAGGTGGCTTTGTTGTGCCAAACATATCGAATAGATCCTCTGAATCTGATGGATCTGCAACTGGATGAGATGCTGGTTCTGGTACTGGTGGAGTTGGCCGCGGAGGCGGTTGATTTTGTTGCGCTGGCACACCAGTGGGTGGTGTGGGTCTCGGTGGCACTGGGCGTGGTGGTGGGGGGTCGCGGGGGTTGCTGTTTTGCCGGTGAAGGCATGGGTGTGGCGCCATGTAAGCTAGGAATGGCCGTTGGCACCCCAAACGGATTATCAGCACTGTTGTTGGTACCACTGCCAGCTAAGTCCAGGTCAAATCCTTGCGTATTGCCCGACGAACCACTGTCAGACACATCTAGTAGATCAGCTAAGCCGGAATCTGGTGTGGGGCTGGGTGAGTGTAGATCACGCATTGATATAGGGCTTGGGGAACGAGTGGCTGGTATACGTCCGAGTAGCTCGGAGCTTGCCTCCTCCATCTGATTGGAAACCGCGTTGATAAGTTCCTGCGTTTGCGGTGGCACCGGCCTGGGTGGTGGACCACGTTTAGAGGTTTCATCTTCCTCTTCGGCTGTAGACTTAATACTAAGCGTATCATCTTCCGCCTCAATAGTTGTGCCAAAGAAGCTCATTGCTGGATCAAGATCAGAAGCTGGCGCGGCGCCTTCTTCGGGTTCATCGCTAAATGCAAATGGATTAGATTGACCGGCAAATGGATTATCTGTTTCCAATTCAGCTTCTTCGCCATCCGTTTTGGAGAAGAACGGATTGGCTGCTGGGTCGGCATCAGCGCCTCCCAGATCATCGTCCATTAAGAATGGGTTCGCCATGTTGCCTTACGGTGAGCGTGCAATTAGCCTTGGACCTCTTTAGATAACTTTTAAATTAACGCTCGATTAATTCACTCTCTAGTAGTTTGATTTCAGTTGCACCAGGTGCTAAATTTTCTGCAATTGAAGTATCGAAAGGATCTACTTCTTCAGGGAGTGTAATTTGTTTTACAGGAACTGAAGGTGTCAACACCTTATCTCCCAAGCCCAGTTCTTGCGCGTCTGTTTGTGTATCAAGCACCCCAGTTGTGATCTCCGGTAGTGTGGCTGGTAGAAGCTCACTCTCCAGGAGTTTTAGCTCTGCCTTGCCCGGTTGTAGGTTGGACGCTATCGATGTATCGAAAGGATCTATATACTCGATACTATCGTCTGGCAAATCTTTACTTTCCTGCGATGGCGTTAATACTTTTGTTTTTATATCTTCTTTTACAGCCAATAGCTCTTCCGCGGGCACCGGAGTGGGTGGCGCGCGTGGATCGAAATCAGGATCTGATAGACTGTGTTTCAGTGTATTTTTCGCTAATAAATCTTGTTCGAGGTGTTTCAGTTCAACGTCACTGGGTTTCGTTTCTGGTACGTACGATGTATCAAAGGGATCTTCGGCTTCTTTCTCGCAGATTTTCTCTGTTGCTTTACTTGGTGCGTAATATGGTGTCAATGGCTTTTTGTTGCCTTGGGCGTCATTCGCAGCACCTAGTAGGTCTTGTGAGGGAACTAGAAACCCTACACTTTTTGACTGAATATTCAAACTTAAGGAAGACTTGCGACGTGCAGTGTCAAAGTCAGCAGTCTTGTTATTGTTTTGTATTTGCACAGGTGGTGCAGGCCGCGCAGGTCGTGGAACAGTGATTGCTACAGCAGGAGCGGGAGCGAGAGCCGGCTCGTCAGCACGCGGATCAAAGTCTGGATCGCTTAGTGAGTGCTTGAGATTACTTTCAGGTAGGAGTTCACGCTCCAAGAATTTCAACTCTGTTGCCTTGGGTCGAACGATTGCACTAACAGCTGAGGTGTCGAATGGATCAAAATCTGCTGCGTCTTCGTCGGCTTCCTGTGTAGGTGCAATGGGGGCTGGACCAACTTTAGACAAGTCAGTAGCGCTTCCACCTAAAAGATCTCGTGTTGGTTGAGAAAGTAAGCTTGCAGCTGGTGGTGGCGGCTTAGCAGGCGGTCCCGCCTTTTCTTCGGCGCGCGGATCGAAGTCGTCGTCCTCCTCTAGTACGGTAGTCTTCTTTATAACCTGTTCGGCGTATGCGGTGTTGAACGGATCGTCGTCAACGTTATCTTCTTCGTCGTCACTCACATATATAGCACCAGGTATTATATGCGGACCAGTGGCAGGACGAGTTGGTGGAGGTGGACGTGCTGGTTTTACTGTAAGGAAGTTGTTAGTTAGTTTCGATAAAAGAACATACTTAAATATTGCCCAACACTTACCTTTGCCGTCTTGTCCTACAGTTGTGGTTTCTTCTTCGGGTACTTGTTCAAATTCTGCCCAATCAGCTTCTACAACTTCCGAAAGTACTTCCGGCTGAGGATGTGGTATTTGTGTGATAACTTTTACCTCTTCTTTTTTGGTCAACGATTCAGCTGCTAATTCAGCAAACTCATCATCATCATCGTCCTTAAGTGCATCGAATTCTGATAAATCCGGTACGCCGGCGTCGAGCTCTTCTTCTTCCTCTTCGTCTTCGGCCTTCTTCGGTTGTATTAAATGCAAATGCAACGAAACACTTAAATCGATAGGTGCATCTGGTACTGGCACGTCATCGACTAATTCGTCGAGTAAGTTCTTCTGCGGCTCTGGCGCGACTATCTCAACTTCCTGATCAGCAAGATCGATGCTCTCGCTCAGCAGCAAGTTTTGTATACCCTTTCGTAGCTTACGTTTCGGTTTGGCAAGCGCAAGCGCGTGCTCACGATCTACACGTCCCGAGAGGACTTCAACCGCGGCACCAAGACTCACAAGTTTCTTATTTCCCTTTGCCTTATCTGCACCAACAATAACTTTTTCCGCATAAGCAGTATCAAACGGATCGGGTCCGTCGTCAAACTCTAATACCGGTGACTCAGGTACGACTCCTAACTGTACTTCACCACTAGTTATAGCCTCTAAATAGTCAGTGGAAAAGATGTCACCGACTTCCTCGTCCAGTTCGTCTTCAGATTCGGATAGCTCAACAACTGCTTCGGCTAGTTTATCGCGATTCGCTTCTACTTCGGCAGCCTTGCGACGCTCCTCCTCTAAGCGTTCCGCCTCGCGACGCGCAGCCTCCTCTTCTTCGAGACGTTTCTTTTCCGCTGCTGATGGTAAACGTTGGTAGAAAGACTCCTTTTTGATGCGATCTAATTCGTCTTGAGTTTTATGTAGTATAGAATCGACACCCGATGTAAGAGCCTTAAATTTCGCCCACTCTTCGTCCTCGCTGGCGCTTTTTGCAGCTACTGCTGGCGCTGCGGCGCCGTTGACACTTGTATCCGCTTTACTCTCAGCAGGTTCAGTTGGCACAGGTGCAGAAGTTGATGTGGATGTGGATGCAGCTGTTGGTGCTAAACCCTCAACGTCTGATGCTGCGTCCGATTCACCAGCGTCTGATTTAGCAGCGGCTGCTTCTTGTTTGGCTCGTAATTCGCGCTTATATTGTTCGAGTTCCTCTTCGGTGAAGAGTTCTTGATCCTTTTTCGACTTCTTCTTTTTCTTTTTTAAGCCTTTTGGTAGTTTAAGCATTCTCTAATTGCGGAGACATCGATGTCGGTCTGTAAAGATGATAAATAGGAAGAGTGTGAGATCGCAAGCAACTACTAGGTTGGGACAAAAGTTACCAAGTTATGGTGATATTTATTATTAATGTATATTTCTTTACTAAAACTTTTTCAAATTCCTTTACGAGTATACGATATGCAGTAAATTTATATTTGCATATATATGCTATACTCTATAGTGTATATGAAGCTAAGACGCCAAAGGTTTAAATATATCTACTATTTGGATGTTTTTATATGTATATATGTGTATGAATCCGTCTACACCACCGAATTATGAAATTAAGTGTATGCATTTCACGGAACTCAGTAACAGGTCACAGTTTTCTTAGGTCTTTCGAATAGGGTCCTCATGATCGAAAAGCAAAGGTCGTATCACGGAAGTGACAGGAGTCCTACGACCAATTTTAGGTTTCCTTAACTTTTCTTTAATAGAGTTCAGGAAGGCGCTGTACTTTTGTCCTGGGTACTAATGTGAGGATTTTTCTTTTTGATGACTTTCAGGGATATATATACATATTTAGGCTCTCTAGTCTACTTTGATAAACAGTTCGATTTTGAGTGCCTCCTCGAAGTTGTTAACTTCATTTCTCTTTTCTAAGGAGTAGTGAACTCAGTAGTCGGATGTTCGCACTCGACCTATAAGTGCTTCGTGGTAATATATTTTTCTTTTTATTTTATTTATTATTTATCTTTTTTAGCTCCCTTTTCGTTATTCTTTGAGTATATTCCCTTACAGTCATCGGCTAGAATGAGTACTGGATAAATGATTACCTCAGCATCTTAAATGTAGTCCTTGATCCTGTTGTAGTCCTGTTTTTTCATAATAGTTTGGTATACAGAGGTAGTCCTAGATTCTAAGTTCGTTTAGCATGCCTGGTTCAAAATGATTATTCTAATCCCTCATGAAGAACTTATCCTAGTGATAGAGATGATGTCCGCTTCAAACAGAGACTAATTTCGGTGCAGCGTTGCCGCTGAAAAATTAGAAAAATTATAAGAATTGATCTGCTAATAAGATGCCGTACATTCTTTCCTTTGCCAACAGGTTCGTCAGAATTGAGGAGGACCTCTCCGTGCCGTTTGACATGAATAATAATAATTTAATATTATGTTGGATTTTACAGTTTTACTAAGTGCTTGGCCCAGCTTCTCCTGCAATTTGTAGTATACGTGTGACGCCTCTGCACGGCAAATGGTTGTTTTTTTTAGTGAGAAACTTCTTCGAGGCAGAATGCTCTCAAAGGTTTGCCATTGCCTGCATAGGGCGACCACTTTGGAAAAAACTTTTTCTAGTTTAGATGTTCTCGGAACAGTGATCGAACCCACGACGTTTGATATTAAACGAGGTTTTAGACAAAGCGACTCCATTTCAGGTGATTTCTTTAATCTAATATTGGAGAATATAATAAGAGCCGGCAGAACTAATATCGTTCCTAGAAAGGAGCCTGGAAAGATTGGTAGATGCACACATCAAATAAAATGTGACGGAAAATGACGGCTGCGGAGAATGGTTAATTTGCATTGGGGTTTTGTCTGGATAAAGTCGTGGCCTTCAACAACGCGTGAAAGCAAGCCAATTTAGAACGAGTATCGACGGAAGCAGTTCACCCTGTAGTTTTGCACCGGATAATCAGTAGGGAGACTGAGTCGGTTTTTCCAAACCGGTTTCCACCAGTTTTGGAAAAATGGCGAATAATCGAATACCCTAATAAGCAATATGTTGAGCTGCAAAAGTGTTTCAGCGTATGAGACCACTAAACCGGTTAACTGAGTCATGCACGTAGTCGCTGGTGGTCATAGTAATTGGCAAGTATCTGTTCACATCCAGCTCAATTATAAGCAAATCAGTACGGGAGATCAATCGTCAGGCAAACAAAATTTAGCTTACCATCAACTCAGCAGCTGAAGCAAAACACCAAACACCTGGGAATAATATTTGATAGCCAACTGTTGTGCTGGCTCAATGTGAAAGAGAGAATGTAGAAAGCCTCTATTAATGCAAAACTATTTTCAGCGGCGCCTGGGTCCAACGCATTCTATTTCTAGTTGGATCCTCACGTAAATTGTCAGACCGTTTGATGGGCAGCAATGAAAAAGAAAAACCAGCGTACCAGTTGGTCAAGAATATAGTGGTCAATACCGCCACCATGCTTCACTTCGGAGCCACTATACACGTCGAAGGCTAGCGTCAATACATGAAGAGGGCTGACTTGGTATATGTTTACAAAGATTGATAGGAGGTAGACA